ACAGGGGTTACTCCTCGCTCTGCACTCAGGAATCGCTCCTGGCGGTGCTCAGGGGACCATATGGGATGCTGGGAATCGAACCCGGGTTGGCCGCGTGCAAGGCAAACTCCCTACCCGCTGTGCTATTGCTCCAGCCCTAGGTCTTTTTAATTTATTGAACCACTGTGATATACAGTTACAAAGTTGTTCATGATTGAGTTTCAGTAAACATGTTCCAACACCCATCCCTTCACCAGTAGTGACAGGTATTGGTATTTGAACCCAGGACATCATACATACAAAGCAACTTCTCTACTACTGAGTCACCACTCTGGCCCTTGAACTGTGTTTGAAAGGAGTAGATGAAGGGAAAAAAGCTGGGCACAGAGGTAGAAGAGAAAGAATGAGGAGGGGAATAGAGGTAGGGATCATTCTGCTCTAGTTAGAAAAAGTAAGGGGATTGGGCTTCCTAAAAAATTTCTAAAGGATTTTTATTTTTTACAAAATTTTGATTTTTTTATTTGAAGCAGTACTTTACAATTCCATTAATCACAGAGTTTCATGCATACAAAAGTTCCAGCACCCACCAGAGTGCTTTTTTTAAAAAAAATTTATTAGTGAAACACCATGAGGTACAGTTGTAGGTTTACACATTTTTGTGCTTGGGTTTCAATTATACAATGATCAAACACCCATCCCTCCACCAGTGCCCATTTTCCACCACCAGGAGTCCCAGTATCCTACCCACCCTCCATCCCCTCCCCCCCCCCCCCCCCGTCCCACCCTGCCTCTGTGGCAGGGCATTCCCCTCTGTTCTCTCTCTCCTTTTGAGTGCTGTGGTTTGCAAAAGAGGCATTGAGTGGCAATCATATTTGGTCTATAGTCTACTTTCAGCATGCTTCTCCAATCCTGGAAGAATCCTCCCAACACCCTTTGTTTGGTGCTCCTTTCTCTATCTGAGCTCCCTTTTCCCCTTGAATATGTGGCTGGCCTCCAAGCCATGGAGCAAAACTCCTGGTACTAATCTCGGCCACTCTTGGGTGTTAGTCTCCTATTTTGCTACTTTATGTCCCCCAGATGAATGCAATCTTTGTATGTCTATCCCTCCCCTTCTGGCTCATTTCGCTTAGCATGATACTTTCCATGTAGTACCACTTGTATGTAAGTTTCATGACTGCATCTTTTCTAACAGCTGCATAGTACTTCATTATGTAAATGTACCAAAGTTTCCCAGTCATCTGTTCTTGGGCATTCAGGTTTTTTTTCCAGATTCTCCACCAGAGTGCTTTCACCAGGTCTCAGAGCCCTCCCAATTCTCCCACCCCTGCTTTGCTCCTTGTCCTTGGTAAGCCCAGATCTGTAGAGAGGTTCCGGTTCTCGGGTGCACTTAGTTTTTTAACTACTACAGAAAATAAGCACTCAAAAGTGATTGAAACCCCAATAAACTCAGAACGATTCTCAGGTAGATTCAAAGTAGGAGTTTCTTCCCATTGGGACTCTACAACTTTCTGCTGCCCCAAATCTCAGAAACAAATAGGAGAGAGAGAGCTGAGCCCAGATTCCTCTCCAGAACAGGCATCTGTGGGACAGGAGAAATAACACAGTGGGTAGGGCGTTTGCCTTGCACACAGTCAACCCAGGTTCGATTCCCTGCATTCCATGTGGTTCCCCCAAGCACCACCAGGACTAATTCCTGAGTGCAAAGTACGGAGTAACTCCTGAGCATCGCTGGGTGTGACCCAAAAAGCAGAAAGGGGAATGGTGTCCTCTACTCTCACAGTATAAAGGATTTTTTTAAAAAGGATTTAAGTATCATAAAGTAAGATCAGATCATTGGAGAGTCCTGGAAATCAGGAGGGGAATTTGCGGCTTTGTTAGAGTAGTGTAGGGTACCACTGCATCTTGATGAACAAAGAACGGTTGAAGATAACTTTGTAAAGGTTTGAAAATGCAGACTGGTTAGAAGAATAGAGGTATTTTGCAGATACTTGAACTCAGATACAGTAACAACAAAGTCTCCAATGGAGACGTTACTGGGCCTGCTCGAGCAAATCGAACTCAGATAGTTATTATAATTATTTCAGTATTTTTGAGTTAGCACTGTAGCACTGTTCTCTCGTCGTTCACCGATTTGCTCGAGCGGGCCCAGTACTGTCTCCATTGTAAGACTTGTTACTGTGTTTGGCATATCTAATACGCCATGGGTAGCTTGCCAGGCTTTGCCATGTGGGCGAGATACTCTCGGTTGCTTGTTGGGCTCTCCGAGAGAGGCAGAGGAATTGGCCGTGCACAAGGCAAACGCCCTACTGTGTGCTATCGCTTAGTTGCATGTCAATTCCCAATACAGGGTTATAAATATGAGGTTGACTCACGCACAGCAGGCCGACTTGGCATTTTAGTTATATATGAAGGCATGACATTTTTGCAATGATAATTATTGTGTTATTCAGTTATGGGCTGGAGTGATAGCACAGTGGGTAGGGCGTTTGCCTTGCACATGCCGACCCAGGTTCGATTCCTCTGTCCTTCTCAGAGAGCCTGGCAAGCTACCAAGAATATCCTGCTCTCACGGCAGAGCCTGGCAAGCTCCCTGTGACATATTCGATATGCCAAAAACAGTAACAAGTCTCACAATGGAAATGTTACTGGTGCCCACTCAAGCAAATTGCTCAAGCAAATGGATGAACAACAGGATGACAGTGCTACAGAGTTACTCAGTTATAAAATAATATTTCTTTCTAGATTCTTCACCAACACTCTTTTGTTTGTTATAGGGACATACCTGATAGTTCTCCAGACTTGCATTCAGGGATCACTCCTACCAGGGCTTGGGGGACCATATTTGGTCCTGGAGATCAAACCCAGGTCAGATGCATGCAAAGCAAATGCCTTCATCTGCTGCCCTATTGCTTTGGCCCCAACATTTGAAAATATATATGTGCTTAATGTTAATATTAAAAATAACTTCAAGTATCTCCTATGATTAAAACATTTTATACTAGCTTAACTATTATTTATAAGAACGACTAGGTGAAAAATAACTTTGTTGTCTCTACTTATGGTTCTGCCAAAAACTAGCTTGCATAGCACTTAGTAGGCACTAGCTGCATGTTGATTATTCTAACAACTGGCCACAGAATTTAATAGCGTTTCGTCTTTGAGAAACATTGTTCTATGCTTTGGAGAGGATATATACATGTGAAAATATACAAGAAAGAATCATAGAAATTCACATCTATCTGCGTATGCATATAAATAAACTTTATTTTATTTTATTTTATTCCAAAGGTTAAAATGTACAAGTGCAGAATAAAATTAAAATTATTTTCTTTGGGGATGATTTATGTCTTAATTTTCACCTGCCCTATAATTAGACATTTTGAACTCTAAATTTTTTTAAGACAAAATTATTGCCCAAGTAAACTTAGGAAATTATGTCATTAACCCAGAGACCTTTGGAAAGCTTAGAACAACGTTATTGGTAGAAGTGCCTGCCTACACACAGACAAATAAAGAGGAAAGTTTAAAATAATTTGAAAATGATTTATTGTCGGCCACCTCTGTAGTTAGAGATTCAAGTGTTATTACTTTACTTTAGAGCAACAAGGGAGGACAGCAAGTTGCTGTGGGCTGAAGGTATATTATGATCTATTGGGAAGGAGGAAGGCAATGTGCTGAGGAGAGGGGCTTTTGGAGTGAGCCTGTTCAAAACCATTAACTGAACCTTGCTTCAGATAATGCTATGAATTAAAAAAAAATTGGTTTTGGATTTTTGCTTTGATCCTTACTGGAAAAGGCCGGAGTAAAACTGTGAGACAGACTGATTTCTTGAATCCTTTATAGCTAAAGAATCATGGACCATGGGGTGGGGATCAGATGTATATGTGGGAACTAATGCAGACTCAAGTACCAAGATAGCCCTTTATTATTATTTTTTTTATGAACAATCCTATATTGCTTAGTCTGAGTTTTAAGATTGGAAGACATCACCTGAATACATCAGGATTTAGGACAACCATTCTGAGACATTTTTGATTAAAAAAAATTCTGCTTGTAACTGAAATCTTCAGTGTAGAAATTGAGAATTTCTCTATAGGATTGTGTAAAAGTCATTTGATTTTATTCAGAATGAGAACAGGGTGGTAAAATTATATCCTCTAAACACAGCACAATGCGGAGAAGGACTTAAAATTATTGAGGTTATATTATATGACAAGATCAAAACTTCCAATGTAATAGTCCTTTCTCTCCTGTATAATCCTTCTAAAACACTATGGAAAAGGCTTTTCTACTTCTGCCATGAAATTTAGGAACCTGAGGGGGCCGGAGTGATAGTACAGCGGGTAGGGCATTTGCTTTGTGGCCAACCAGAGTTCAATCCCCGGCATCCCATATGGTCCCCCAGCACCGCCAGGAGTAATTCCTGAGTGCAGAGCCAGGACTTAACCCCTGAGCATTGCTGGGTGTGACCCAAAAAGCGAGAAAAGAAAATAAATTTAGAAACCTGAAACTCATCTTTTTGTGTTTTGCACATAGTGAAGGGATAGCAAAACTGTGATAGTTTGTGTTTTTATAAATTGCCTATAGATTAATTTTCATAATTATAATACTTTCCTGGATTGTTGTCATTATCGTTTGCTTGTTTTTCTGCTCAACCTTATTGTGCTCAGGGCTTACTCCTGACACTGTGGTCAGGGATTATTCTTGACAGTGCTCTGAGGATGCTACTCTCTCTGGCCCCTACTATTATGTTTTCAGAACTGGGAATTGAATGCAGGGACTTTCTCATATGAGAAAGTCTACACGCTCATTCTACCTTTGAGCTACATACCTGGTCTTAATCTGAATGATTTTTTATTGCCACATCGTGACAGTCCAGAAAATTAATATCCCAAGAATGCAGACTTCAGTGCTTTGAGAGGAAAGTCCCTGGCTTTCTGGAGCTCTTCTTGTTCAGTACGCTTTGGCTGAACAACATTTGTATCAGCTACTAAAGGCAAGTTTTCCTTTGACTACTTTAGGGTTGCTCCCAGAAATATTGGTCACCCATCTCCGAGCAGCTGCTTATGCCCACGATACAGTGTTGGCTCTGGAAGACCCTGTGGACTGGCACCGGGGTGATGAAGTTGTCATCATCAGTGGAGTGGGTGTGGACGGTGCTGAAGCCGTGGAAGAAGTTGTCATTGTGGAAACTGTCCATGATTCAAACTTGCATCTGAGGGATCCCTTGAGGTAATGAGTATCAGAGTGGTTCCATTAGATACACAAAGATAAGTGGTGTGTGTGTGTGTGTGTGTGTGTGTGTGTGTGTGTGTGTGTGTGTGTTGGACTCTGCCCAGTGGTGCTTAATGGTGCTATTTCCTGGCTTGGTGCTCAGAGAACTATATATAGTGCCGGAGATCAAATTAGGATGGGTGGCAATCCAGGCAAAAAGAGCCTTAAAAGAAGATGAAGTCTCAGTATACACTGATGTCTGGACATTTTGATTGTTTTTCAGTGATGTGTTTTTACAGTATATAATACTAGAAGTTTAGACAAGATAATTGCAATGTATAAACCCTTGAAAGATTTGAGCTTCTTAAATAAATTTCTGTAAGGCCCTTGAACCTATAAATTTTCTAGGTGGTCACCTCCACATTTTGTACAGTTCCTAATTTTCATATACTTAGGCCCATAGTTCTTGTTTCTGGATTTAATGGCTAAATAAACTTACCACTCAGAGCTGGAGCAGTAGTACAGCAGGTAGGGTATTTTCCTTGCTTTGTTTGATCCCTGACATCCCTTATGGTCCCTGGAACCCACCAAGAGTAATTACTAAGTGCAGAGCCAGGTGCAACTCTGAACATTGCTAGGTGTGGTTCACTAAAAATTAAAAAAAAATCACTACCCAGTAGAAATGTTTATGTAGTGTCTTCCTGTTCCAAATAAGATTCTGAGTGATACCTTTATATTTTTCTTTTTTTTTCAGATATTCTCACAACTTCTCAGAGCTCTGGGTAGCTGGAAAGCACCACATCCTAAAGGTCACAGTGGCCCTACTCACTAGGAATGTGACCATAAGAGGCAATCTCACTAATGAAAGGGCTGAAGTCCTTGCTGCATGCCAAGAAACCAATGCTCTAGAAGGTAGAACAGCACTTTACTGGGAAATCTGTTGAATGAAAAATAATGTTCTTCCTATCAAGTGATAGGTGTCCTTTTATACTTTTTCAAAACAGAATAAACTCTTAACCTTTGCATGCTTGTAATATTCTTGTAGTTTTCAAAATACTTGTGATAAATGGTCATTTCCTCTCCAGCCTTCAACAACCTTGTGAAAGAGATAAACAGTACCCACTGGAGAAAATAATTACTTCTCGGGGAGGGGAAATTCCTGTTCAATAATTAAATCTGGAGAGTTGAATTACATTTCCAGGTTAGAAATGATAATAAAATCTTCTCCCTGATTCCTGCTCCCTTCTAGAATTTTCAGGAATTGGAGGCTTTGGTGTAGTACTCTGACAATGACTAAAATAATGACTGCATACCTATTTTAAACTATGATATCACAATTAAAAATTAAAATGCAAAAATGTGAAATTGTTAGGGAAGCTGTTTAATGCTGCAGTAATGGACACGGCAGCACATAACTGAAGAAGTTCTTAGGGCTTGGCCGTCCACACACACTTTTGGAGAATTTATCTTTTGAGTGAACTACCACATACTTGAGGTAAGAGGTTGAAAAACTCCATTTATCTTCGAGTAGAATAACAGGCACTGAATCACACTGATGTGCCTATTAAACATCTATTTCAGGGATGGTTAGTTTAGTAGGTTATGTTTTGGTTTCCCAGGCTGTAGATTATGAGGCTTTCATATGTTGTGAAGATATCATTTGTCAACTTTGGTCCAGGATGGTGTGGGTGTCAAGGATGACTTCCAGGCATGAACTCTGAATGGATGATGAGGCTATTTATTGAGATGGGAAGTACAAGAAGTTTGGGGGGTGGGGTGGGACAGTCGAGATCCTGAGTCTCATTTTGTATGTTGGTACCGAGAAACTCGAGCAGTCGAGGTGTCCAGTAGTAGCGTTGGGAGCTGGGAAAAAATGTCAGGATTGGAATGAAAGATTTGAGTCATGTCTGCTGAGAGACATCTGTGGGTTTAATGTTGACCCGTGGTTATCGGAGAGGGACCATGCATCAAGACATCAAGAGGATCACCTTTCCAGCTCACAAGCGTCATTCTACAAAACCTTAGAATCCAGTGGCCGCCAACTTTAACAGTTCTGCTAAATTGAAGCCTCCATTCTATTAAGATTTTCTTTCTAATTCATATGCTAGGATTTATAGAGTATGTTGCCAAGAACATGGTATTTGATCATTCTACAAGCGATAGCACTCAGGTTATTATATAATCTTCTAATGGTAAAGAATCACCGATTTCCTCACAACTCTTAAATATTATTATAAAAATTTTTTTTGATTTTTGGGTCACACCCGGCAATGCACAGGGGTCACTCCTAGCTCTGTGCTCAGGAATTACTCCTGGTGGTGCTCTGGGGACCATATGGGATGCTGGGAATCGAACCCGGGTCGGCCACGTGCAAGGCAAAAGCCCTACCTGCTGTGCTATCGCTCCAGCCCTTATTATAAAATTCTTGAGGAAAACTTCAAAGCTTTATTAAAAAGACTTTATTAAAAAGTAAATATGTCACTCAACCCTGTCTTGTGCTGAACTGAAGTGTGAGAAGTGAGGCTAAAGTCACTGAATAAGCAATTTGAGGTCTGAAAACAGTATACTCAAAGCAGTAGGGATCACTGGCATAATAATCAAAAAAGTGCTAAAACTAAATGTGAAATACCTCTTCCTTTACCTCTTATTTGTTCACCTCTGGGTAACTGCATTCTGAAATGTATTGCGGATCATTTGCTTACATCATTTTGTACTGTCCTCTCCTATTTGATTTATTGATACCAATGATAAAGTATTAATTCAGGACATGATTCCTTCTTCATTCTGAGTTTAGCTCGCATCACTAATTGCCATGTGTTAACAGAATTTTCTTGAATCCTGAGGTCACAGCACTGTGAGTCACTGGCAATTATCTTTCTTATGCATAGTAATTGTGTCACCGCTTTCTCTTGGGGTGCCACTGGAAAGGAAGCTTTGGTGTGGGGATCATTCGGTTACTCCTGCCCTTTGCCATGTCTGCTATGGTTTTATTTTACTCAGTTCCCAAACCAGAAACACATCAAAGTCAATGGGAAGCCCCATTGGACAGCTTAGTCCTAAAAAGAACTGTGATTACACTCCGTGCTCACATCTCTTCCCTACAATTATCAGCCATGAGAAGGCTATTTTATTGCACAGTCCCTCCAGGGGATCTTTTGGGTTGAAATAAGCATATATTTAGGTTGGGTTTGTGGGTTACCGTCAGCCTCTTTGTGACAGTAATTAAGGTGATTGATTTGGGGGCTTCTGGAAGTAATAGACTGAAGGCCACATCATGTCCTACTTAGAGGATGTTTTAATTAATAATCCAAAGAGGAGAATCAAAGTCAATGGGAAGTTAAGATTATTAAAAGAAATCAACTACAATGTTTTGTTCTTCTTTGCTGTCAGTGCCTTTCGATCTGAGAGATCCTCTGGAAGCATCTTGTGTGCTTCGGAGGCCCCTGACCCTCAGTCTGTCTTTCAGGTAACTTGCACAACTGCTTTTATTCCAAGAGTGAGAAGACACTAGGATCCAGGGATCTGGGAGCAAAGGTCATCATTCAGTCCTTCCCAGAGAAGCCCAGCCGGGTCCAGTTGAAGGGAGTGCAGTTCCGGGACTTGGGGCAAGCTTACAACAAGCATCTGAACGCTCTCACTCTGGTGGGATCTCTGAGAGGTAAGGGGGTCCTGGCCCTTACATGCTTCCTGCTTCTATTTCCATGTTTAAGACACTCTGAGCAGCCAGTCCTGAGAGGAGGTGGTAAGGGTGGCGTGATTTAGAGATAGATGGTTTAGATTTATGGTCTTCGAATGTTAGGATGCCAAAGGATGACTTAGGAGCGTTTTCAGACTTAGAGTTCTGGACTCTGCCTCAATGAATTCTGATCTAAATTGACCACAGGGACTTGGATTTTTTAGCAAGAGAGCCTTGTAAGTTTCAATTAGGGTTAAAACTCGGAGAAACGTCATCACTTTTGGTGCAACAGATGTAGAGCAAACCATACAAATCCATTCAGAATAAGGTTATTTTTTTCTTTTTGCCATTCATTAGTATTGTGACTATAGGGAAACTAATAGTGACTAGGATGAATAACGGATGGTTTTGGAGTCCAGGCAGAGAAAAGTGCTGCACGTCTCTGCCAACCTGTAGCAGAGTAATATTCTACCTGGGAAAATGGAAGAAACTGGCTAAAACCAAGTGCTTTTCTTAGAACATGACACAGGCAGTGTATGGATTTTGACCAGAGCTGAAGATGGGATGAGAAATCAATACATGAAATGCTGGCGAGAAAACTGTGTGAAATATCACATCTGAGCCAGAGGAGGCTACTATGAGTCAGTGTACTGATCAATGTTATGGAGCCAAAGTTCAAGGGATATTGGAACATCCATGCCAAAAGTATAAATCCCAAGGACTTGAGACAGTACATGGGGGTAAGGGGTTGCGTTGCATGGAGCAGACCCTGGTTTGATGTCTGGCACTGCATATGGTCCTGTGAGTCCTGCCAGGGGTCAGTTCTTAGTTAAACACCAGGGATATCTCCTGAGTACTAGCTAGATGTACCGTTACCTCCAACTCCCCCCTCCTCCCAAAAAAACCCTCCAATAAAGGTCACAGCAACCAAACCCATCAAATATCAGAACCTGATGTATAGAGAATAGAATTGGAGTTCAGATGCTAAAGGAAAGTAGCTTCATTTTTGTGTTATCTACTTATCCTTCAGCACTTCTAAAATCAACACATTTATTTTTTTGCCTTCTTGAAAGAAACGGTGCTCTGGGGAATAACGCCTGGCAAAGGGTACCAGGGCATACTTAGGCTCCATTGTGCTAAGTATCAACAAGTAATAACAGAATAATCTCTGAGGTCATTGGAGGCAGGATCCTGGCTCTGAAAGTGGCAGCAATTTCTTTTTTATTCCTATCATCTGCATGACAAGGATTTCTATTTATTGTAATTTTCCAGATATTCTTAATTTATTTATTTTAACATCCATTTTGGGTGATGGTTTCTAACATAGACTCTTTGCTAGCACATTGTGACAGTCAGTGTCATTGTGCCCTTTCACCGATGCTTTGATCCTTTAGTGCATAGGATGCTGCAGAATATTTGACTTGAGGACAGCACCAATATAAGGGAGGCTAGGAGTCAATTATACATTATCACTTGCATGAGTTATCAATTGACCATAACTCAACCTCTCCCTTTCTCAAACTTTGCTTCAGAAAAGCTTTCTTTAGTTTTGTCTGTTTTTATATATAACGCTTAGTGGGGGGAAAAAAGTTTAGGTGCTTAAAAAAAAGTTTTTAAACTGTGTTAATACATTATCCCCTGTTGGTCTCTGTTAAAATGCAAATGTGTTTCCTGGGAAGGAGTAACACATTAACCCAGAGGTTAGAATCTTCTGGCATGCTTGCCAAAGAATCTTTTATTTTGTCATGCCCTGAAGTGCCCTGTTCCTTGTGTGGCCGATTGCCCCAGTCACTGGAGTAGGGGGTGGTGGAATCTTTGTACCCTGCTATTAAAGATTTTGCAGTCCCCGAATTCTACCCATAATAGGTCCATAAACACATTAGGTCTTACTGATTGTCAGATGGGCAGGCGCATTCTGATGGAGAGATGAGATTCTAGGGATCTGCAGCCAGGGAGAGCAGGCTGCAGGCAGTGTTTGCTCTAGATGGGTTAAGTTAGCGTGGTGACTTCGTGGTGAGTAGTGTGAGGGTGCTGAGAGTTAGGGCAACCGAAGCTAAGAGCTGGCTGAGCATTTTCTGAGTAGTATTAAGTTAAAAGTTCAATTTTCCATAAGTCATTATTTTTAGCAATTCAGAGAAGTGACATCCACTTAACATCACTCCCGATCTGAAAATAGTGCAAAACCCCATTTCCCAAGAGTTATAATTGAATTAGCCAAATAATAGATTCTGTTTTAGTGTGACTCTCCTTCACCAGACAGAAGAAGAATTTTCTCAGTTTTGTTCATTTTTATATCTCCAGCACAATACATGTTTTTTTTTTTTTTGGACTATTTTGGGTCACACCCAGTGATGCTCAGAGGTTACTCTTGGCTCTGCACTCAGGATTTACTCCTGGTGGAGCTCAGGAGACCATACGGAATGCGAGGAATTAAACCTGGGTCAGTGGCATGCAAGGGAAGTGTGCCCCCCCCCCCCACTATACTCTTGCTCCAACACCAATTCTTGACCTATCTACATTTGATATTCTGGACCATCTACTATTCCAGATAACAAAGTTGATATAAAGTGTGGGAGAGGGGTGGGCGGAAGGTGGCATAAAACACATCTAGCAGGTGAAATAATTTTCCTAGGGGCTGGAGCGATAGCACAGCACATAGGGTGTTTGCCTTCCATGTGGCAACCCAGGTTCAATTTCCAGTATCTCATATGGTCCCCTGAACACTGCCAGGAGTAACCCCTGTGAATAGCCAGGTGTGATCCCAAAAGCTAAAAAAAGAAAACCCAAAAATAAAACCCTCAAAATAATTTTTCTAAATGTCAAATTCTTTTTTTTCCCATCAAAGCCCAGGGTTCTTCCCCTTCAGCTTCAGAAATCCACCACATGCAAATATGAGAACTGAGATTCTCAGTTCAACATCAGCTTTGCTTGTGATTATAAAAATTGGTGAAGGGAAGTTGACAATGGTCAACTGATTGGTGTTGAAATTTTATATGCCTAAAACTGAAACTACCAATAACTTTGTAAATCATAATTCTTTAAAAAAAAAAACTTAAATTTTTTTTCTGGCTGCCTTGTGTCAAGAATATTACTTCCTGGCAAATTAAAAATATCACTTCACAGATCAAGAAATGATACTTACTTGTTCTTATGCAGGATAAATTATTCTTAAGATCAGCGTCCATAAGCAACACACTTCATATTATTCTACATTCTTTTCTCTAGCCACTGTCTGCCACATTGAACTGGGAGTTGACATTGAGGATTATAGCCAACTGGGATCAGAGACATAACACAGGGGTTAAGGCACTTTCCCTGGCATATGGCTGACCTGGATTTGATGCTCACTATCCTACATGGTCCCCCAAACCACCAGGAATGATTGAGTGCAGAGCCAGGGGTAAATCCTGAACACAGCTGGCTATAGCCACAAAACAAGACAAAACAAAACAAAAATATTGTAGTCAATTGGCAGTCTTGGTAGTCTCACATTCTTGAACTATATTACAGTTTATCAGGCTATGCTACTATTGTGTATAAAAATTAGAGTTATTTGGAGAAAACAAAAAAACATCCAAGGATTACATTATTTTTATTTCAAGTCACTTTTTTTTTAATGAACACTTGACCGTTGGATTCCATCCTACGTACTGAGGGATATTGGTCTGAGCTACCCATTTTCTAGATTTGGTTCCTACTTCCTATGTCCTTTTCCACCATTTAAAGTGCATGTTTGCCTCTTTTGCAAACCACAACACCCAATAAGAGAGAGAGAAAGAGCAAAAGGGAATGCCCTGCCACAGAGGCAGGGTGGGATGGGGGGTATGGGGGGTGGGAGGGATGCTGGGATCCGTGGTGGTGGGAAATGGGCACCGGTGGAGGGATGGGTATTTGGTCATTGTGTAACTGAAACCCAAGCATAAAATGTGTAAGTCTGCAACTGTACCTCATGATGTCTCATTATTAAAAATTTTTTTAATATAAAAAAATAAAGTAGCATGTTTTAGTTCTGTTATAGCTAATTTTGGAAATGATCAACAGACTCTGAGGCATTTTTGATATTCCCTTTAATAATCAACTTACCTTTTCCTGTGCAGGGTCTTACATTCAGGGCTGCACCGTGTGGGGGTCCTTCAGCAGAGGTCTCAGCTTGCCCAGGACTTGGGGCCTGAAGGTCGACAGCAACATCTTCTACAACATTTTAGGACATGCACTGCTGCTGGGTAAGTGGTCAGCTTGTTTCATTTATGTGGAATTCTTGAGTTGGGCACCTCTTTTTCAAAAGCAATTGCTTCCCGATTTGAACTGCCAGCTCAATAAACATTAGTGTCTACTCATGAGAGTAGGCCGTGCTTAAAAAAAATATAAGTTTCATTGTCATCATTATTGATGAACTCGCTAACTTGTGGCAAAGAGGAAACTGATCTTTTGCAGGTGAGATTTCAGTCCATGTCAAATTTAGATGTTGGTTAAGGAGTCAAAAACAATAAATTTAGCTCTTCACTGATCCTGAAAATTGTTGAGCTCAGCGATAGCACAGTGGGTAGGGCGTTTGCCTTGCATGTGGCCGACCCGGGTTCGATTCCTCCATCCATCTCAGAGAGCCCGGCAAGCTACCGAGAGTATCCCGCCCACATGGCAGAGTCTGGCAAGCTCCCCGTGGTGTATTTGATATGCCAAAAACAGTAACAGCAAGTCTCACAATGGAGACATTCCTGATTCCTGCTCGAGCAAATAGATGAACAATGGGAAGAGAGTGACAGTGCTACTTATTTCAGAAACTTCCAGTTGGTTATCTGTCTCCATTTCTGTCTCCTGAAGTTTATTCCCCTTGAAAACCCCAGACATTTCTTTAAAAATCTCAAATTGGATTATATCACTCCTCCTCTTAAAATATTTTTATAGTTTTTGACTGTTCTTTGAGTACAATCTGAAATCGGTTCCCTGGCTTAAAAGATCTCAGTATTTCTACCTTGACTTCACGATCACGATCATCCTGTTGTTAGTTGATTGCCTCGAGCAGGCCCCAGTAACATCTCCTTCGTCCTAGCCCTGAGATTTTAAAAAGTGCCATATTCAAGGCTCTTTCAGGGTTAGGAGAATGAGACCAATCATTGTTACTGGTATTTGGCATATTGGGTACGCCACGGGGAGTTTGCCAGACTCTGCCGTGTGGGCAGGTTACATTCGGTAGCCTGCCAGGTTGTCCAAAGTAAGAATGGGATAATAAGATGTCATTACATTCTATAAGATGTCACTTTACATTCTAAAGTAAGAATGACATCATCTTATCTCATTCTTACTTTAATAAAATGTCGCTTCCGGGAGCTGGGTTTTATAGTCTCTGGGTGTTGGCCATTGATGAGATTACATGGCGTGCGGTGGGGGGGGGGGGTGTCAGTTGGTGGGTGTGACCCCCTGCCTACAGGAAGATGGAGGATCTGGGTGGAGGATGCTCAGCCCCGATCCAAGCAGGCTTGGAGATCTCAGCCCCGGGACCCGCATGCCTTTGTTCCTCTGCCGGTACCTTCATGCATGTGGAGAGTGGTCTCAGCATGGTTGTGGCTGGTTCTGAAGGTCTTCGGCTGCCGGAGCTCTGCTCGGGGCGGGGAGGGAAACTTAATTTACCTGGACTTACTTTTGTAAAATTGTCTTGCTATTTCTTTCTCTCTACACCTGTTTGAATTCTTTTATTTCTTTTATTTTATTATTATTTCTTTTATTTCTCCCTTCCTCTGTGTTTATTCACTGACCTTGCTTTTGAATTCTTTCAAAAGGCTGTGCTTCTTCCGGTACAGATTTGCACAAGAACTTTTCTCTCTTTTCAAACTATTCAGTTTGTTCCTGAAATAATCTCTTCCTCCAATTCCCAAGCACATGCTCCACTTAAACTCCTTAGCACTAGTAATTACTTATTCATTTAAATTATATATCATGTTTCTGATAATCTGCTTAATGTTTGCGTTTTTACTGCCCATCATATGTGAACATTATTTCCTTAGCCCTTATCCCTCAGCCCTTTAATCAATGCTTGCAGTCATCTTTGCTAAAATGAGCAAATGAATTCATGAACCGAATACCTCTATTTATGTCAGAGTTCAAAAGAAAAACCAGAGGTTTTCACTGAAAATATGCCTGTAATTATATTCATTTAATGATGTTCCATGTAGTAGTAAAGTACAGGCCCTCCCGTTGATCATCGATTTGCTCCAGCGGGCCCAGTAACGTCTCCATTGGAGACTTTGTTGTTACTGTGTCTGGCATATCCAATATGTCACGGGGAGCTTGCCAGGCTCTGCCGTGTGGGCGAGATACTCTCAGTAGCTTGCCGGGCTCTCCGAGAGGGGCAGAGGAATCGAACTCGGGTTGTCCATGTTGGCTGCGTGCAAGGCAAACGCCCTACCACTGTGCTATCGCTCCAGCCATGATGTTCCATACTTCAATTAATTCTATGATATGTCAGTGTGAAAACATATTGATTAGCAAGATTATTTTGAGATAAATCTAAAAAAATTGAGTTCAAATGCTGAGAGGGAAATATTTTAGTGAGAAAATAGGGATCATATGAAGTTGCTTTAAAATAAAATAAATCTCTAAAAGGTAAAGAACTGAGCACAATTGGGAGAATCAAACAAGGAAAACCATTTGATTGGGAAAGAACCATTATAGGGAAGTCTAATTAGCAGATGAAAATTGGTTCCTACTTTGTTGTATAAGGGGGAAAATTGCCTAATTATGGAGCAGAAATTTAGAAAGGTGCCATATCTAACAATATGACTTTAGTTGAAAATAAATTATGTGGAAAAGACATTAACTAGACAAAGAAGAAAATATGCAAGAGAAATTAAGCATTTTGTGCTTGGAAATTGTGAATCTATTGTCTAAAAAAAGTCATTCACTTCTACCTTTCTGGGTTATGGATAAAAATTATAAACAAAATGAAAATAACTTTTATCTTGACTCAAAATAAAAAAAAATATGATAGCAGTATCCCTTGTTTTGCTATTGTGTGACTTTCTGATCAATGAGGTTCTTTTTTTTTTTTCAGGTACATACTTGGAGATAAGATCCATTCCTTGGGAGTCTATTCCTGGAAATAAAAATGGTAAGAGTGTCAGTTGGCTTTAGAGTTTTTACAGAGTCAGAGAGATGGAATAGTGGTTAAAGCAGATAAGGCACTAGCCTGACATATGTTCAACCCTGACTTGATCCCTGGCACCACATATGGTCCCATTAGCCCTATCAGATGAGATTCGTGAGCACAGAGCCAGGAATAAGCCCAGAACACAGATAGGTGTGGTGTAAAAGCCCAAATAATAAAAAAAACCCCAGAACATAAATCTATCACAAACTATTAATATTATACATATTTTATAGCTGTTCTTCAGACAACTGTTAGATATTTTTATTGGACATACTAAATGTTTAAATACAGATGTATATTTGTACATACAACACAGATAATACATGTGGATATATATATATCTATATACATACATACAACACACACATATATGTACATATGTACATATGTATGTATTATATATAGTGTCCCTCGGCATTTGTGAGGGATTGGTCTTTGGACCGTCCTCCCCCACAAATACACCCAAACCGATGCATTCTCATTCCATATTTAAAATGTATTTTTAGATAGCTTTTCCCTATTCTCCTCTAAATGATCTCAGTCACTTATAATACCTAACAGTATATAAATGCTATGTAAATAGCTGTCATATTGTATTATTAAGAGAAAATATAGTTATTATTCAGAGAACAATTATTTAGAGAACAGCAAGAAGAAAAAACATAAACTTATGACACATAGTAAATTTAACTGCAGATTATAATATGGATATATATATCCATATATATAAATATATACAAATATATATAAATAAATATATATAAATATATATAAATAAATATATATATATTTATTTATATATATATATATTTGATCTGTGGTTGGCTACATCTGTGGGTGCCGAACCCAAGACCCCCTATGGAGGTCTACTCTACATATCTCTGCTCTGTATGAACTATAACTTGAATAAGCAGAGCCAAAGTATAGAATTGTGTAAAACTTTAATTAAGCTTGTGAGTATTTGGTGCTTGATTGAATTTTTAATTCAACTTACTAGAAGAGGGAAATATCATAAGAAACAATGTGATCATCAGTATTTTGGGCGCCGAGGGACTTTCCAGTCTTGAAATGCTGACATCATCTGGAATCTATATCCGAAACCCCACCAATGCTATAGAGGTAAGATCTTCAACTTCGCCAGGCTTATTGGAGCTCAGAGGGTATAATATCCTCTGAAGGAGTCATTTGGAGTGGCAGTCTCAGTGTTATGCGATAAAAAATATGTTTGCTTGCTGCATACTGGTATTGAGAAGCTGCTTTATGAGTTTGTATTAAACAAGTGCTTCAGGAAAAATGCAATCGTCTAAGAATTCCTGTGAACACTCATTGAACAATATCTATATGGAGCAAAGCAAAGTAGATACGGATCATTTTATGGTCATTTAGATTTAATGTGAACTAAAATATCTTCCTGAGCTATCCACTTATTATGGTTGCTGATTTTTTATAATGCTGTATTTTTATAATGATTATTAAATATTGCCATTTTAATATAATTCTGTATTTCTGTTTTATTTTATTACATTTAATTTTTAGTGTTGGGGGTGATAAAGAGGGCTAAAAAAGAACCAAGAGGAGAGAGAGAGAGAAAGAGAGGGGGGAGAGAGACAGAGAGAGAGAGACAGAGAGAGAGGGAGGGAGAGAGAAAGAAGATAGGAAAGCTAATTTTAATTTTTTTATGGGTCACACCTGCTGATGCTCAGCGCTTACTCCTGGCTTTATACTTAGAAATCACTCCTGGAGTTGTTGGGGAGATATATGTGGTCCTGTATCGAACCCACTCTTTTACACTTAAAGAGTTAGGGCCTGAATTGAACCCACTCTTTCACGCTTAAGGAGTTAGAGCCAAAAAATCCTGAGGTATGTGAGACCATGTCAGATGCTAGAAAGAATGAATTACATTGTGATGACCATGGTTCTTTCATCTCGTTATTTAGCACAGCTTGGCGTTAGTTTCCATGGTGAACTTCTCAGTACTTGCAAAAGCTAATTCTTCTGGACAAGTTTAGCTCTAAGTCCTTGAATGAGCATTGCCTCCAAGTTGTGAGAGAGCCATTTTATTTCTTTTTTCTTAGTGATTTTCTCCTGCGGTTCAGCGATGAAAAGATTAAGGGTCTCACTCTTCCAGAATTTTCCTCTAGAGCTTCTATTGTGCTATAGCAATTAGACCAAGTTTCAAAGGAACTGAGTGAACGAACTCTCTAGCTGATCGTCTGCTTTTAATTACCTTCAGCTGAGTAACCCTTAATAAAAGTCATGGTTATCTCCTCTAACCCTGCTCTAGACTCTTAATTATGTTTATTTCAAGCAGATACTTACACACCATTTTAGGTGCCTAATAGGGGCAACTAATATGCCAGGGAGGAAAGGAGGCAGAACTGCATGGATTGAGGAAAACCAAACTCTAGACCCCAGAACAGTGAGAGCTCTTTTAACTAGTTGGTCATTACAGGGCTTGTTGCACAGCCGTGCCAGCAAGCGTTGGGCTTTAAAGAACCATGTGTTGGCCCCCTTTTGAGCAGAGCAAGCGTTTTCAATTTTTATCCATCCAAGAACCAACCTTGATCTGTGGGCTGGCAGTTGAAAACCACTGATGAAGAGGGAGACAAACTTTCAGGATCTTCCTGCTCATTGTCCTGCATGAGACTGGAATGACTACATATTCAGTATCAGGGGTGCCCTTAGTATGACTTTGCATCTCTGAGAAGGTGCCTTGGCCTCTCATTAACCAAAATAATTGAACTGGCTATATATAGGTGTGAGGAGTCAGAGGGATAATCTGAATAGGTTACTGAGACCTTTCCAGGCTGACCTGAAAAATAATGCCCAGTCAGCAAGGAAAAATACGAGTCGAAAAGAAGCTGTGTATTTTCTCATTAAATTTTTTTTTCCATTTCCATTCATTCTCTTTCTTTCTCTTTGAGCCATTTCACGGACTCGAAAGCAAACAGTGAAACGCAGGTCTCGAGAATGAGATTTTAGACTGGTAAAGTAGAATTTTTGAGTGCATGCATTAGGTATAAGGTAAAGGTAAAGGTAAAGGCCCTCCCGTTGATCGTCGATTTGCTCGAGCGGGCCCAGTAACGTCTCCATTGGAGACTTTGTTGTTACTGTGTCTGGCATATCCAATACTCTCGGTAGCTTGCCGGGCTCTCCGAGAGGGGCGGAGGAATCGAACTCGGGTCGGCCATGTTGGCCGCTTGTAAGGCGAACGCCCTACCCGCTGTGCTATCGCTCCAGCCAGCGGTAGGGCGTTTGCCTTGCACGCAGCCAACATGCATTAGGTATATTCTTGATATTTTAATCTTCCATGACCTTAATATTTCAGTTTTTCTAGTAGCTTATTGTTATCATCTAGACCAGCACACAAGGTCTGAAACAAAGTAATCACTGAACAAGAGGATTGGTGTATTGGCTCTGCGAGATTTAAACAACACTTCATTAGTACTGTAGACTATGATACCTAGGTATAACGAATGAATCTAGGCATAGTTGTACAACAAAAGATGGGGACTGGGAAGAAAGAGGAAACAAAGACTAGATTCCTAGATTCCACAATTATTTGATAACTAACAAACAAGATCTTTAATCTGTGACAACAAATGAGTCCTTTAAGACTTCTCCGTCAGAATTCATCTTTGTGTCCTTCCGACTTCTCTGCAGTGCCACTGGGATTCTACTGTGCTGTTTCTTTTATACTTTTATTATCTGAGATGTTTCACAACTAAGAGCTTAGATGTTAGCTGATCAGAAGTAGGAAAACTTAAAAATTAGGAGCCGGGGCTGGAGTGATAGCACAGCGGGTAGGGCGTTTGCCTTGCACGTGGCCAACCCGGGTTCGATTCCCAGCATCCCATATGGTCCCCTGAGCACCGCCAGGGGTAATTCCTGAGTTCATGAGCCAGGAGTAACCCCTGTGCATCGCCGGTGTGACCCAAAAAGCCAAAAAAATTTAGGAGCCCCATTCTAGACCCTTAGAGTCAATAAAGATCATTTTAGTCATCAAGCAGATAGCGAGTTAGTTTTTTATGGAGTGCACTCTATGTGACCAGTACATGGAACGCTTTAAAGAATATTCATTGTAAATACACCTTTATTTTAAAGGGATAAAGAGGCTTCAATAACAGTGATGTTAATGTAGTGTGTGTGTGTGTGTGTGTGTGTGTGTGTGTGTGTGTGTTTCTGTGTTTCTGTGTTCTAGTGGAACACAAAGAGAGGTGATAGGGAAGCCTTCCCTTTCTGGTTTTGGCTGAAGGGCATTTCCGCATTTGGAGGCACTGTTTGCAGATGATGACTTTTTGTCCTGCTCCATAAGGAGCTCTGAGTTTGACCACCTCTTAAGGAACTATAGTTCCTTTGTGTTCTCAGTATTGGACTTACTCCTGCCTTGCTTCTCCGTTTCCTATAGTTGGTTAGAGTTCTTTTTATTTTTTTATTTATTTATTTTTTGTTTTATGTAGGAGTACTGCTATTTATTCAGTCACTGATTAGCTGATTGAATTGGGCATGAACTCCACTTTGCTTTTTTTCATAATTTTATTTATTATTTTTCTTCTTATATTTATTTATTGAATCACTGTGGGAAAAGTTACTAAGCTCTCAGGTTTAAGTCTCGGTAATACAATGATCAAAAACCTTTCCCTTCACCAGTACTCATTTTTCAACACCAAGAACCCCAATATACCCCCCCCTTCCCATCCCTCCCAATGCCTGTGAGGCAGATGATTTCTACTTAGGTTAGAGTTTTTTTTAAAAGGTACTGTATGTCATCTTTTTTTTTTTCTGATGGGGTTTGCACACCTGGAAGTACTCAGAGTTATTCCTGACTCTGTGCTTAGGAATCACTCCTGGTTGTGCTTGGGGGACCATTTGTGGTGTTGGGGATCAAACCTAGGTCAATCAAATGCAAGAGAAGTGCCTTGCCAGTTTTCTTTCTCTCTGGCCTCTTTATCTTTTCGCATAGCTGAACATCATATCATTCACCACAATATGACCTGTCTAAAGTAGTTTCTCTCCACCTCATATGATTCCTAGAACCCTGCTGGGCATAATCCCTGAGTAAAGATTCAGGAGTAACCCCTGAGAACCACTGAATGTGGCCCCAAAACCCCAAACACATGTCTTATACTTTAAAAATAATATTACATGATAAGAAATGTGCAATTATAATAGAGCAGTTTTTGTACTCTCCTCCTGACTTCTCTCCAGTGGTTATAGGCATAACCAGCCCTGAAGTGCAGGAAACCCACACTGGGACAATACTATCAGCTCAATTCAAGCTCTAAATTAGATTTGAATAAGGTGATCTAACACTTGTGACTGGAAAATCAACCCCAGAAGTCTAAAGCTTCTTTTCTTATATAAGTTTGGCTTGAGTTCTATGGCCTGGCAGAGAAGATGGAGAGGAAAAAAAAGAAATTGAACCCTCTGTAACTCATATAAATTTGTGGTTTTTATCATTCCTGAATGACATTGACCCAGGGCCTAGGTTCTAAGACAGTGTCACAGTGTGTGAATTCACCTTAGCTTCTAGTCAGCCATCTTTAGAGTTTACTCACCCTCTCGTCTGTGTAGTTCAAGGGAGTTTTAACTATGAATTCTGCTATTATTCTTCACAGGCACAAGTGGTTTGTCCACCACTCTGCTCAGGTTGTATCTGAGTCAAATCTAGGGTAGTTTTTCTGATGACAAAATATGGTGTTGGTGCCTTCTTGCTAGCAAGAACTCAAGTCTGATGGGTCTATTGATGTCTCCAGGGAATTCATAGTCTTCCTTTGTATACTTTTTTTCAAGTTTTGGCTTGTTTATTCTTTTTTTTATTAGTGAAACACCATGAGGTACAGTTATAGACTTACAAATTTTTGTGCTTGGGTTTCAGTTATACAATGATCAAGTACCCATCCCTCTACCGGCACCCATCCTCCATCACCACGGCTCCCAGCATCCCTCCCACCCCCTATCCCCCCCATCCCACCCTGCCTCTGTGGCAGGGCATTTCCCCTTGTTCTTTCTCTATTCTTTTGGGTCCTGTGTTTTGCAAGAGAGGCATTGAGTGGCAATCATGTTCGGTCTATAGTCTACTTTCAGCATGCTTCTCCCATCCTGGGAGGATCCTCCCA